TAATGTGCGTGCGTGTGCTAAGCTCAAACGCGTGCGTACGTACTTCCCTTGTGCTTCCGCCTTCCTTAGCTATTTTTGTACTATTTTTCCACAATATTTTCCTTACTATTTTCCCTCTATTTCTTGCTGAAGTTGGGCTCGATTTTGTGCATGAAAATGTATGAAGAAGTTCACACTCACGGTCATTTTAAAGGAGGTGAAAACCGAGGGTGAAAAATGGGTCAAAGAGGTGATTGATGATGCGGTTTCCCTCGACGCCAAGTGTCTCGACTGTGAGCTGAAGTGTGGCGTTTAAGGCCTAGTCATTGCCGAGGTGTCGGGCATGCATGGGCTTAGTCACCGCCCGCGCGTTCGTGGCGCGCCGTGTGTGCAAGCACATAGGTGATTCATCACCCCACTTGCACACTCAAGAACTATCCTTTAGTAAATTCTCACGGAAATCTTAAGGAAATAGTTTGGGATTTGGTTTGCTTGATCATGGTCTTTAAGGCAATGAAAGCATGCTTAAGGCGTAGTGGCTTGCTTCACACGCAATGCCGTGCGCTGCGTACGGTCGCGTGCGCGGGCTACACACACGATTACGCACAACATGCGTGCATGGTGTACTATAGGCACTCGTGACTTAACACGACTTAGTTTGATTTTTAACTTCAAACTTAGATCCGAACATATTTAACTATCAATAATTAATACCGATTAAAAATGTCCATTTATAAAATAAACGGTACGGAAATTAATTATCGAATTTGACTCGGTTAATAATTAATCGGATAAACTTTTCGACTTAACGTCGAACTTATTTGCTGAAAATGAACGGAATTAATAAAAGATAATACATTATTTCTATTAACAAGAAGTTGGGTTATTACAACACACGCCTCAACAAAACTGATCTACCGATCAGGAAATCCCATCCTAGCCAGTGCTTTCCTAAGAAACGGCCACTCCACCATATCATACGCTTTAGCCATGTCTAGCTTTAGCGCAACGTTCGGAGCCCGTTTCCAATCCGCATGGGAGATATCGTGGATCATCTCCTGGGCCAAAAGTATGTTATCACTAATGACCTGATCCTTAACGAAGCCAGTCTGGTTCGGCGAGATGAGGGAGGGGAGAATAGGGGAAAGACGTCCGTTATGAATTTTTGAAATAAGCTTATTGGTCACGTTACACAGGCTTATGGGCTTGTAGTCGGACCAAGAGCTCGGATTCGGTCTTTTGGGAATCAAGACAACAGAGGTAGCCGTGAAGGAATCCGACATCCGGTGACCGGAGAAGAAATCCAACACTGCCTCCTTAACGTCATGCTCGACTATATCCCAAAAGACCTGATAGAAGAGAGAAGAGAATCCATATGGGCTAGAAACGCTGTTGGGATCAATCCCGAAAACAGCATCCCTAACCTCCTCCCTGCTCGGGAGCTCGCAGAGGCCGACAAAGTCGACCGAAA